TGTCAGTTTGAGGTAGACCTGGTCAGATGGTCCATGTATCCCTATGGACTGGCAAGTGTAAAAGAAGAGGACCTGTCCGTCTAGGTGGATTGGATCAGAGGGCAGTTGGGTGTAAACTGACAACCAGTTTGTTTTCTCCTGGCGGGATTTGTCTGTGTCCACTGTGTGGAGACGAATTCAAGTAAATGGGGCCACTCTGCAAGTGCCCCTCAACTGCATGCTTCTGTAGGGTCCAAGGTGCTACACCCACCAACCATGACAGGGCATAGGAGAGCCAGCACTACAGAGAAGACATCAACTTATGTGGCTCTGTTTGATGCTCTTGGATAGTGGGTCAGCAAGCCCAGAACATGATCTACCAGTCACCTACCCAAGATCTACTGGTTGCTGTCCACCGATCTATGGCCTGCCTAACAAGTATTTTCCAAAACTTGGTTCTGTCATGCATCACCATCAAAACTCCATGTGTGCTACTAATAGGTTTTTCTGATTTATCTAAAGATCCATCTACTCCTTTCTAAAACACAAAGGTGCCATGTCTTGCTTCATGAAATTTGGAATATTATTATAACATTCTGTTTTTTGATTCACAGATCTCTCTTTACCCTGCATAACCAAGCAGGTGAGAACTATTTTGAATCTAGATTTACAGCTTTATATGGCACACGAAAATACTAGTATCACTTGAATGGCTGTACAAGACTGGCTGAACAGAATCATAAAATCCCTTTGCAAATGCAGTTTATGTATATACAGTATCAGAGGCGTCCCTAGGGTTGGTGTCACCCGGTGCGGTAACACTTGGTGACACCCCCTCCGACGATCCCCGCAGAATGGATCGGATCTGCGGATTGAGCATAATGGATCAGACTCCGATTCATTATGCTCAATCCACAGATCCGATCCATCCTGCGGGGATCGTCGGCTTTCTTTACAACTTACCTTTTCTTGGATCGGGTCCGGGACAACTGCGCACGTCCCGGTTTCAGGGACGATCAATCGATGATAGCAGTAGTTCTATCATCAACTGATCGTGCCTGAAACTGGAACATGCAGTTGTTTCAGGGGGACATATCTACATGGGAGCAGTAGTGTATTTAGATTTTGTGCTGCCCTAGGCAACACAAAAATTTTGCGCCCCCCCCCAATGAGAGAGTTCAATAAGTGTGTTTCTGTACATATGATTCTCTCCCCCCTCTCTCTATCTCTCCCTCTTTCTCCCCCATCCTTCTCTCTCCTCTTTTTCTCTCTATCTTCCTCCCTCTCTGTCTTCCCTCTTCTTCTTCTCTCTTTATCCCCCACTCCCTCCCCCCCTCTCTCTCTATCCCCCTCTCTCTTTATCCCCCTCTCCCTCCCCTCTCTCTCTTTATCCCCCTCTCCCTCCCTTCTCTCTCTTTATCCCCCTCTCCCTCCCCTCTCTCTCTTTATCCCCCTCTCCCTCCCCTCTCTCTCTTTATCCCCCTCTCCCTCCCCTCTCTCTCTTTATCCCCCTCTCCCTCCCCTCTCTCCTTTATCCCCCCCCCTCCCTCTCCCCCCCCCCCCCCCCTCACTCTTTCCTTCCTCTCTCTTCCTTCCCTCCCTCCCTTTTTCCTCTCTCTCTCTCTCTCTCTCTCCATTCCTCTCACCTTTCTTTCTCTCCCCCCCACCTCTCCCTCAGATCATATGCCACCACACACACACACCCAACCCTCCCCCCCTCTCCAAGGGCTGCTGATCTCCATGCAGCAGGAAGGGGGGTGTGTGCAGTCCCATACGATCTGTCAGTGATCAGTGTAATCTGCTGGATGGATGACAGGAGGGAGAGCCCACAGAAGACAACACAGCTCACCTCCTCTGGGCTCTTTCATCGCTTCTCTTCCTGCTCCAGGCATTCCCCTAGTCCTGGCTTGTCAGCTGCTGGAGAGGTGCACGATCATCGCTCTGCAACTGCCCTCCCCCACATCGATCTTCCTGCTGTCCTCCGCTGCTCAAAGGGTCCCTTCTTCGGGTGTCCTAGGCAAACGCCTTGTTTGCCTCGTGGTGGATACGCCCCCGCATGGGAGACACGTCTTACCGATACACCGGTGTCACCCCGCAGGATCATCCGTATGCAACCTATACGGGGTGACACCGGACCCGCTCCAAGAAAAGGTAAGTTGTAAGGAAAGCAGATGATCGTCGGCTTGCTTTACAACTTACCTTTTTGTGGAGCAGGTCCGGTGTCGGTGTCCCCCCGTGCGTACCGCACCCCCCGCACCTGCCTCGGGACGCCACTGTTCAGTATGTATTTGGCCGTGGGATTTGGCTCCTTGCCTGCTGTTCCTGTTTAATTATGATCTGTAAGAGATGATTGAATGAAGATTGGCTTTTCACCAGAAATCTTTAAAGAAGTCAGGGCGGTATTTGCTTAATAGTGTAAATATGGTTAAGGTGTCCAATAACGGGTGAAAATCAGGTTTTTCTAGTGTCTTAATTGCTTAGCCCTCCAGGCTAATTTCACACTGATCTGCTGCAAAAACGAGTCAAAAACACATACATTTTTGCCATTTTTTTTTACATGACATGTGACTCAAAAACCACAACAAAAACACAACACAGGTGCGTTTTTGCCACGTTTTAAAAGAATTTTAATAGGGAGGTGAGTTTTTGGTGGGGTTTTTTTTACTGCACCAAACAAGCAGCAAGATTTTAAAAAAAACACAAACAAATCAGACCCGCAATGAATCAGTGTGAAGAATTCCATAGCAATCCATGGTCACATGATTTTTTTTAACGCAAAAGTGGAAGAAAAACAGATCAGGGTGAAGGTAACCTTACTCCCAAAGTCATTTTTTGTAAATGATTTTTCGATTCGAATAAACAGAATAGCGAATACTTGAATCTAGCTGGAAATGACACCTTCGTGTTTTAGAGAGGGTCTGAAATTTTCAGGGAAAGCTGAAAGTCTCATAAGTAGCACAATTGGACTTGTACGTTGTACAGGATTTAAAAGGTGAGGACCCAAGTTTTGGAAACCTTTAAAAGGACATGGACTGTGGAAGCCGTGCCTGGAAAAGGCAAGCAGAGAGTAAAGGACTAATCGGTTCACTTTGGGGTACACAATAATGTGTGCAGTGGTGTTTTTAGGTTTTGTGCTGCCCTAGGCAACACAAAAATTGGCTCCCCCCCACAGAGAGACCCTGACAAACACCCCCCACCCCCATGAAAAGAGCCTGACATTGACCAAAAACACCCTACCTGAGAGATCCTACCACTACCACCGCCCCCCATACACTGGCAACCCACCCCGGCAAGAGAGAAGACACTTACCTTCACAGCGCCTATCATCCCCAGGAACAAGAGTCAGGCTCTGCATACACCATCAAGCAGCCCCTCTCAGATCCCACCTGGTCCCCAGGCTGCTTGTGTCCTTTCTTCCATCCCTTCTTTTGGGGGGAGCGGCACTTCCCCTCAGAAAAAATGCCGCTCCCCTCCTGAAAAAATGCTGCCCTAGGCAAATGCCTTGTTTGCCTTGTAGTAAATACGCCCCTGCATGTGTGCATGAAATGAACAGGAATTTGCTTTTTTACATGATTAGATAATTATATATAAGAAGATAAAACAGCTGTGCCTACCTATCACCAACTCCCAGTTTCCAAAAGATAAACACCTACTCCCAGCAAGTGTTAAATAAAATGAATAAACCTGCAATGTATAAATAAATATAAAAGTGAACCAAATATACATTCAAAATATAAATCAAAGTGAATGTCCCTTGCTGGGTTCACTTTTCCTGCTGCTTCTTGATCCCCCCCCCCCCCACCCAACACATCAGTCAACCACTCATCAGGGAGACAGCTCTTGACATGAGGAAGCAAAGCCCTGCCAATATCAATATGGCCACCTCCACACCGAAATACAGTGCGGAACATAGCATGGTAGATTGGTAATAGGGAAAAGATCAGCTGCAGGTGCCTACAGGCAATGCTAGTGACTGATCATTGGCCATCCATTTGATTGATTTTTTTTTTTTTGGTCATGGACTATATAGTTCCTTTTCAAGTAGTAGTATCAGACATCAATTGCTGTGAAAACACACAGATCCTGCCCTTTTACAGAGCATGGGTCCCACCATGGGTAATGCCTAGTGTGAGAACATCAAGAACAAGATAAGCCACCCACAGAGTATCATGCAACTGCTAAACATCGGTCTATTTTTTTTTGCACAGCGAACTGCAGATTCTCACTCAAAACTGGACCAGTTACTAGTTTTTGGCATAGCTTAGACTGGAGTTAAAGAAAATATTGTTTCACTGCTGTCTCAGTGACAGATGTTATGGTAAATCATTCTAAAATCTAGCTATCGCCTGACAGGACAAAACACTATTAAAACAATAAATCTGAATTTATAGCGATTGTATCGTTCTCGTCTTATTACCACCATCAGAACAAGGTGAACCCTGTTAATCGCATTATATGAGGCATTTTACAGAATCCACACACGTGGGTTCGTTATTGGCCAGGAAAGGTCATTTGAGGCTCTCTATAGATCCATCAGCCCATATTTGTCCTGCCCTTGGCTATTTGAAGGTGGATAACTTACTAATGACCCCTAAACACTTTGAAATTAACTTTTTTTTTTTTTTTTTTTTTAAATCAAAGAGTTTTTTTTATTAACCTCCCTAGCGGTCTGATTATGTCCATATTTCTGTGCTCAAAGCGGTACATTGTTTTGCATGGAAATATGTATTTTTTTTTATTGTAGGCCTGTAATTTTAAGGAATAACTCACTGAAATCTGTCCGAACAAGAGTCTAGTAAACATCCCGGGTAGGATAAAAACTTGAAACACGAAATCATAAATTATAATTTAATAAATAATCATAAAAAAATAATAATATAATAATACATTTAATTCAATAATATAATCAAACCAAAAACACTGAAAATTTTAAATATTGCGCCAAGTTCGCACATCGCTGAGCAAAGTCGCAAAATCGTTTTCAGTGTCTGATGATGAATTTCCCCACAAATCATTATCACTCAATTCTGCAAGTGGTTCTAATTTACTATCGCTGTTCTCTAGCCGGATCTAAAACCGCTTTTGACCTAAAGGGACGCTTTTTGGACGCCATGGACTTTTCTAAGTTTCCAGGCAGAAAGAAGAGTAAAAATGCAGGCAGGGCACAGGACAAAGCACTCGGGACAAAATGTATGTGAAATGGTTTGATACAGTAATGTTTTACTATGTGATTTTAGTGAATGTCACTTTTTGTCATTTTCAGATTTCCTGCCAGTTCCGTCCCCCATACGTCCCGACGCTTGCAGGGAACGTAACCCAGATGCCAGATGCCAGCATCCGCCGGATTACATTGCCGGGGACACTACAGGAGGGACATCGCGGGAGCGCAAGACAAGGTAAGTGATCGAGGGATCGCGGAGCAGCGCTGCATGGTGTTCCTGAGTGTAGCTCGGGGTTACCGCTTGTGGTACTGAAACTTTACCCCGAGCTACACTCGGGAATACCGCCAGGGAGGCTAAACATACTCAAAAACAGCAACAAAGACATAACATGCCAGAGTGTCCATACAGTGACGGTCTGTATGGACCACATAGCTATAACAGTCATCAAACATTAACAGTAGAAATTTTTGATTCAATATCCATTCAGCCACAGAGTATGTATAGTATGTTATGAATACATTATGCAGGACACCTCACCCCGTCATAGATCCCAAGTGCCTCAACGTATTTTACCCATATGTTAAAGTAACAGTCTATCCATCACCAGGTCCAGCGGTGCCACATCGGGCGTAGCCAACCAACTGCCCCACACTTTATCATATTTGGCTGGGCAACCACGATGTTGATTAATCAGGAGCTTGTATCTTTAGGTGACACCCATGTTCTATCCAGGCCTGGGGGGGGGGGGGGGGTAGGTGGAGTTGTGGACTTCCAATAAAGCAGAATATGTTTGCGAGCCTTGAAAGGGACCAAAATTAAACCTTTTAATGCTCAGTTATCTTTGAAATTTTTTTTTGTTGATCTCGGGTTGCTTTCTCCTGGATTATATGGTATAAAAAGCCCAAACCTTTTTTGGTGGTTGAGAGTAGGGAATGGTTAAAGCTCCTATCAGGTTATTTTTGCAGCTTGCTAGGGAGATTTCCCTTTGCTTCCTGTCTTGAAGACGCATGATAGCCAAATTTCTCCAAAAATGAGAGGAAAACTCTCCAGTGAAGTGAAGCAAATTTCCATCTTAGTTGTCGTTGGAACACTTGTCCCTATTGGAGGATTTCCGCTCACTTCTTTCTCTTATGATGACAACTCTAAAGTGGTGCAACCTTTTCCACTCGATCCAAGACACTGTAAAGTCAGACGAAGAACAGCCCTGATCTTGGGAATACAATTGTGGAGTGGTAGGTATGACAATGGAGATCCAGGGGCCCTTTTCCAAAAAAGCTGGGCATGTCGTGTCCAATTGAACCTACCAATTGTCATGCAATAGCTATAAATATAATGCAGGGGTGTGGAAATTTTTGAAAAAACTACTTGTCCAGAGACTAAACCGGTGTCCCAATCTACTTGTCCCTCATGACAATCTACTTGCCAAGATAATAAAAAAAATACATTTAAACCAAAGCCGTATTTAAATCTCTGATGTGCTTTTAGGAATGTCTGGGGCTATTAAAAATAAAAGGGGCTTTATAGCGACATAAACACAACGGTTAATATTTTTAACATTGCACTGTATATCTCCTCCTCCCCTCCCTGCCTGTCTCCAGCACCGCACCTAGGGACTAGCAGGAAGGAGAAAGACCATGCAATGTAATGAGCACTGATTGGCTGCTCATCGGGAAAGGGGAGTGTCGGGCTTATCCTTTATCTCTTTTGCTGCCAGAGCTCCTTTTGCATTTTTTGCACACGTTTAAAAAAAAAATTACTTTAGGGAGTGAAGATTACACATAACCCCCAAACATTATATATTTACTGAAAGCAAACATTCTAGAGAATAAAATAGTGGTAAATCCAATTTTTTGTATGCCATACGATATCACAATGGTCTAAGAAACACCAAATTTCAGTAAAAATACACTTGCGTTAATTTTAGGGCACAAAAAATCAATAAATTGCCCAATTTTTGGTAAAATATACCAGATGAGGTTGCACCGAGCAAATAGATATTCAACATGTCAAACCTTAAATTTGCGTGCGCTACTGAAATGGCGACAAACTTTAATACTCTATATTTTCTATAGGCAACACTTTTAAATCCCCTTATAGGTCATCAGTTTAGTGTTGCTAGAATGATTGCTCTTACTCCAGTGTGAGTAGCAATATGTAATGTGTATTGCAATCAGAGGTTTCATGTATAGGCGCCCTGACGTGTGTGTTTACGTTCACACGTGTGTACATACTATGTGGGGATGGGGGTTTATGTGCTTGGGTGTAAGTACATTTTTTTTTACCTTTTTTTTTTTTTCCCCCCATGTGATGATTTTCGATGACTGGTGATGTCTCCCCTGTACTCCACTGGATGTAATACAGTGCACACCACACTGCATAACATTCTTTTTCTGGCCTCGATGGCCAGGAAATCTGTCAACGGGGACCCGAAAGTGAGGTCACGTCATTTCCAGGCTAGGAAAAGAAGGGGAGGGGAATGGATATGTCTTTTCTCCCTCCCCCATACCTGCCGGCACCCACTGAACAGGTCCTGAATGGTGCTTGGGAGACATAGTGGGCAGGGGGGCACTGTGGAAACAGTGAGCCCTGCTGCTTGCCTGCAGGTTGGGGGTTTGAAAGGAATGGAGAGGGACAGGAGGAAGTTAGTTAGAAAAAGGGGAGGAAGGTGCTCTCCGTTGGGTGTGCAGACAAGGCAAAGGAAAAAAAAAAAAAAAAAAAGAAGAGTACCTGCGGCCCTACTGGTGGAGTTAGGGAAGGAGCCCGCAGTCCTATGCAGTCTGTCCACCCCACTATCGTGATATTGAACAGTGAGTTGTTAGCAGTAGTTTTCATTCTGAAGGGTATATTTAACATATGCAATCCCTAAAGTTCTTTATATTACAAAGAAAAGTAGCCAATAATTTCAACTCTGCAGGAGCCACGTACCTGTTCTATCAGCCAGCCTCCATCTAGAATGGGACCCACTAAACTATATAATGCCCAGACAGGAATAATGGAGGAGTTATCACAATATCTAGACACATCTTCCAGAGATGACATAACTAGGGCAGCAGCTTAGACTGTTTAAGGCGACAGTTGGTCTTAAAATCCCTCCTGTCTGTAAACTGTGTTTTATCTGTAGAACAGACTGGCTGCAGTAGAACTTAAAATTCTGGTGACTTCCAATCTGAATAGATATCCCCTTGTGACCCTTTATTGTAGTACGAGTTCTCAATGTCCACACAGCAAAAACAGGGACTCTTCAGTCTTAGGGCTCATGTACACTGCAGCTGATAAACTCACGTTTAGGAGCTGTTCAGCGTTTTTTTTTTTTCAGCAGTCCCTGAACTCTCCCTAATGTTTTCCTATGTGTCCATGCACACATCTTCGTTTTACAGGCATTTCAGTTTACAGTCTTTTTTTAATGCAGAAAACCTGCGTTTAGTAGTCGATTTTATCAGCGTTTCAAACGCAAAACGCTTGTAAACGCGGCAAATCACGCTTATAAGCGTCTGCATCTGAAATTTTGTTTTTGTTTTAACTCTTCCAGTTCCCTATGTTGTCCAGAGCCTTTTTTCCTCATAAAAAATGCATGCAAAGCATTTTCAAGGTACTCAAATGGACAAAACACTGAACACAGGATGTTCCTACCAAGCTTGTCACACATTGTAATGACCAATTCACATCTCAGACCTCTCCGATGCTTGGAAACAAAAGATAAGTTAATGACCATTCACACCTCAAATTCCTCATGAAGACCCCAAGAGGGCTACACTATATCTTTTTATTTGTTTTTGATGTCACATGGATAAAAATCTAATACTGCAAAGGAGGAAGGAGTGGTGCAGTCCCCCAGGAGCCACACAAGCAGATGGATGGTCTTGTGATGATCAATTAAAACTGATGCTGCACTTTTTTTATCATATTTGTGGTGAGTTGGCAATTCTTTTGATTTCCAGGGGAGGATAGTCCGATTTTTATTGGAGTACAAACACCACATATATTGCACAGAGGGACTACAAACTAATTTTGGATATATCAAGTTGATGGGACTGTCATTTTTTGGCTATTAATGTGACTTTATAGTGCTGCAATTTTAATTAGAGTTCACGTGAAGCGTGGTGTACAGTATATTTACAAGCTGTTTATTTTTACACTAGTAGGGAGTGCTGACTTTATATATGTTGGTTTGTATTACTTTTTAATGTACACCAACAAAGAATTAAGGTTTGGATATAGATCTGTAGAAATTTCTGCAGAAAATACCTTTTTATTCAGTAGTATCCCCTGTGATTTCTGGTTTCAGCCACCTAGGCGATTAAGTTATCAGCTTGGCCCATTGACTCCTGGGATATCTGCTTCACCGATCCCATGATCCTTTGGGTATCTAATGCAGGTACAAAAGCACGCCTTGCAGTGTCATTACTGCGCAGGTGCGAGATGCAGAGGTGTATGCTGGGTAGCCAGCTGCACGAAATCAGGGAAATTAAGCCAGGCTGGCTAGATCCTGCATGGCCACAGCGGGAATCGAGAGGGACAGAAAAGAAAAATAATCAGTTTGTGAGTAGTTACAATGTGTACATGGGCAACATTATCCATTATGCTCATGAGGAATTGCAACAATGTTTGCAATGTAATTAATGCAATGTTGGCTAGGAGACTTTAGGGGAAGCCTATCACACCTCCAACTGAACTTTTATCACTTCTATCAGCTCACCCCACAGTTACAACCTTTTAGCCACTTGCCACACCCTATTAGATTGTAAGCTATTTTGAGCAGGGCCCCTTAACCATCTTGTATTGTTATTGTAACTGTACTGTCTCCTTTTATATTGTAAAGCACTGTGCAAACTGTTACGCTATATTATTATACAGGATTTATATAGCGCCAACGGTTTGCTCAGCGCTTTACATTATAGTGGGCAGGGTGGATTTGATTTAAATCAAACTGATTTAAATCACGATTTAAATCACTAGTCAGTAAGGCTTGATTTAAATCCTAGTTTTGTACATAAAGACTAATTCTTGCTGGTATAACTTTAATATGCAAGTAGATGAAGATTTTTAGAATAACAACTTTTCATATTAGTTTTTTTATCCCCAGTTTAATAGGTTAATCATTCATATTTGGACAACTTTTCTGTTGTACTTAGGAAGGAGAAAAATAATCATTACCTTAATAACAATTTCAATAGATTTATTCAGCTGAAACAATAACATTCCAGCATATGTGATTTGCTTAAACATCCATGTTTAACTAATTTGGCTAAACAAAATATATATATATTAAGAAACGTAGACTGTCAGCCCCTTCCTCCTCACACTTAGTTTCACTTTCTTCTTGTGCAGATCTATTCTACTCCAAACAATCAGAAAAATATTGTTTCTATTCTATTCACTGAACTTCTTGAAACTTAGCACTGAAGGGGTTGATTCTGTATTCATAGGTTTGTAGAAGTTAGGATTAAGGTCTTTTTCTTAACTCTGTTCATGTTATAACATTTTTGCTGTGAAGAAGAGGCATGTGATCTCCGCTGAGTCAAATTCAGTTTTGAGAACTGCAAAGTAAAGCAAGCATCTGTGATAATATCTTGTAGGCAGAGAAACTGCCCAATAATCTTACAAAAACCTCTGGAAGAGCATGACATTGTGAATGGATTCATGGAATTTATTTACCAAAAAAATTAAACATATACAGCCTTATTCTACATAATTAAAAAACTAATCTTTATATTTCATGATGGAATAACCTTTGGATGGGAATATATTTTCCTCAAAAAGCATTTTATTTAAAAAAATCCAATTTAAATAAAAATAATCCGATTTTTTTTATTTTTTTTTAAAAAATCATTGATTTTTATCCACCCTGATAGTGGGAGACAATACAGCAACAATACAGTTCAATACAAGAGGGATTAGAGGGCTATATAATATCTGTATAATAATAATGTGTGTAGGCAGCAAACCTTACATGATTGTCAACACACTGTTGAGATAAAATAACTTTTCCAGGTTTAGGATTAGTGTTCGGTTCAATTTTTAGCATTAGGTTGAGATTAAACCCAACAACAAAAATATATTGAATCATACTAGGTTTGTACATGTGGTTGCTAAAAAAAATTTTTTTCCCCATTTTTACCTGGTGACTCTGCCAATACCACATTTTCTGTCCTAAGGTGACTATGTTAAGTACACCACTGTAACTATGGAAGGTGCCATGACCGTTATCCAGGCTGGAGATACTGTAAACATATACACTATATGTAGGTATCTTCAGTATTTGGGTTGGGGGGGGGGAATGATGAGATTAGTAATTTGCACAAGAAACGATAATATTTTTGTTCCAGTTCAGTGGCTATTTAAATAAAAACTTTGTAAAGGTGAACTATGCCTATAAAAGGTGGTAATGTTCACTACTCCACTGTATCTATGGAAGGTGCCATGGCTGTTGTCCATGCTGGACTTTAACCTCCTTAGCGGTATTCCCGAGTGTAGCCCCGGTAAAATTTGAGTACCAAGAGCGGTAACCCCGAGCTACACTCGGGCTTACCATGCGGCGTTGCTCAGGGAGTCCCTGCAGCACTTACCTTGTCCTTCGCTTCCCACGATGTGTCCCCTGCAGCGCCCCCGGCCATCTCCTCCGGCCGGTGCCGGCATCCGGTCCCTGTGACGTCAGGACGTACGGGCGCCGGAACCGGCGTCAAATTTGAAATTTTTAAAAAATGTCATTTTTTAAAAATGATATTACATAGTAAAACATTGCTGTTTCAATGCATTTCACATACATTTTGTCCCTACTGCTTTGTCCTGTGCCCTGCCTGCATACTTAGAAAAGTCCACGGCGTCCAAAAAAGCATCCCTTTACGTCAAAAGCAGGTTTTAGACCAGCTAGAGAACAGCGATAGTAAAATCAGAACCACTTGCAGAATTGAGTGATGATTCGTGGGGGAAATTCCTCATCAGACACTGAAAACGATTTTGCGACTTTACTCAGCGATGTGCAAATTTGCCTCTGTATTTCAAATTTCAGTGTTTTTGGTTTGATTATATTATAGAATTAAATTTATTATATTTTTTTATGATTATTATTAAATTATAATTTATGATTTCGTGTTTCAAATTTTATCCTACCCGGGATGTTTACTAGACTCTTGTTCAGACAGATTTCAGTGAGTTATTCCTAAAAATTACAGCCTACAATAAAAAACTACATATTTCCATGCAAAAAAATGGTACCGCTTTCAGCACAAAAAAATCAGAAATAATCATACCGCCGAGGAGGTTAAACATACTGTATTTATTGTTGCTCATCTTCAATACGTGGGGGTGATAAGATTAGTTACACAAGAATGAGAATATTTTTGTTCCAGTTTGGCACACAAGAACCCCTTCCCCCCATGCACTGGGGCTGTGCCTGCACTGCATGGGTTAACTGCTAGTTTTGTCCAGGGTTTAAGGAAAAAGCTATACTTACCCTGTCCTCGGTCCAGCGGTGGACTGTTCCTACCGTCCTCACATCCGGAGCCGGTCTTTCACCGTGATGATGTCACGAACAGTCCATTCACAAGACTGCTAGTGTGTGTGTATATGGGGAAGAGGGGGGAGGGGGGGACAGGAGCGGCGTGGACCGGTCTTGCGCTCAGAGGATCGGTGGAATAGGTAAGTATCTCTGTTTTTCAAGCACCTAGACAAAAACAAGCATTTAACCCATGCAGTGCTGGCACAGCCCTACTGCATGGGAAAATAATTTTTCGCCTGAAGTTCTTCTTTAAGTAAACTTTGTAAAGGTGAACGATGACTTTAGGCTGGCATTACACACTATAAAAACAAAGTTTCCTCCATCCACACAAACAAGGTGGAGGAAGGAATTCCCTCATCCCTGCTAGGACTTGACATTTGGACAGCAGCTCTTGCTGCTGTCAGAATATATAGATCAGTTGCTGCAGCTGCCGATTTAAAAAAAAAAAAAAAAAAAAGTGTCAGCAAATCCCAGGGATGGCCACACACTGATTGGAATTTGTCCGGTCCCCTCTGCTGAACCCTCTGAATTTCTATCAGTGTATAGCCAGCTTTAGTGAACAAGCCTGGAATGGAAGAGTCTCTCCATTCACAGCACTTGTTGCTTCTCGCACGTCTCCAGTATGGACAAATCTGACTGCGGCTGATTGCAGGTTGCAACTGCAAATTGAAAAGTAAATGTCAAAGCTATTAGAGTGCAGAAGAACAGCACGCTTCTATACAGACAAACAGACTTTTACAGAAAAAGAAGTGATTTGCCACAACTGCATGATAATTTTGTCATTTTTATCCCAGACCAACTGGGTGTTATTAGGATGTAAAAATAACATCAAATAAAAAGCATCATCTGTGTTGCACTTAAAGAGGTTGCAAACCTCGGACATGAAATATGAACAAAGCATATCCTTCTATAGTGTGTACTTGTCTGAATTCAGAGCACTGTCATTTCTGGATCAGTGTTACAGCCAGGCAACTAGCAATTTCAAAGTCAGCAATGAAACCTGCCACAGTTTTTTTTTTACATTTTGGTTAGAATGGTTAACCACTTAAGGATCTCCTGTCCTCAATGTAGTGCGGATGGGCGGCCCATACAGGCACTTCAACGTGTCTAAGTGGCTGGGCACTTCTGGGTACAGGGAGTGTGCCCCCGCTAACTCTCTCTGCGATTAGGATTTTGACAGCAGATCCTGGCCACTTATTGAGCTCCAGGATCTGCTGATCAGCTGTGTCTAATCACAGTCCAGAGCCCTGTGTTGACAATCAGCATAGGGCTTCTGCACTATCATCTTTTTTCCTCTCCCATGCACATTGCTGGATGGACGGGGCTTGGGTAGGTATTGTGGTGGCTGGAGGGTTCTGCTGCACACTTTTTTTTTTTCATCTTCATGCATTCTATGCATAAAGGTAAAAAACCTTCTAACATTCAGCCCTTAGAACCACTTTAAAGCGGAGCTCCACCCAAAAGGGGAAGTTCTGCTTTAAAGACTGGTCCCCCGCTCCCCATTAAGGACTGGCACCCCTGGGAAGTGGGTATCCAAAATTAACAAGTACCCACTCCCACTGCAATCACCTAGGCAATCAGAAGCGGAAGTTGTCCTCCTACCCTCCCTCCTAGTAGTCTTCTGAGAGACGTGACAGGTCCCAGAAGACTACAGGACCATTCAGGAAGAGCAGCACTACTCGCGCATGCGCAGTGGGTAGCCGGCTGTGAAGCCGCAAGCTGTCACAGCCAGGTGCCCACACTGAAGATGTGGGCAGATTTCTACTGTTAGCTCCATCTAGTGGTAATAATGTGGTATTTTCCTGAAATACCTCAAGCAGGAAAATACAGCACTATGGCCACTAGGATAAACTTATTATGCAAAACACAGGGATTATTTGTGATGGCCATGCAAATTCTTGAGAATTCAGAGCCTGTCTACTGGTTGATGAGATATCTATCACTTTAGAAATTATTAGGGAGTATAAAAAAAAAAAAAAAAAAAAAAAAAAAAAAAAAAAAAAAAAAACACAAAAAATAACTTCTATGCACAACATTAATATACATATAAATTGCTTTAATTTGGCACTTGGGGAAACACAGAACTTTTTTTATTTTTTTTTTTTACTTAGTAATAAACATCAACAATACAAAGTCATGTTTTTGTTAACTGTTTCACAAAAAATAGTCCACAGAGTTAAAATGGACAAGAAATACGGTTAACAACTCCACTGTATTAAATAGACAAAAAAAAAAAAAAAAAATCACACAAATAACTGCAATGTATATATATAAAAAAAAAAATATTTAAACATTGTCCTGTACCCTATGCCCAGAAACATTGCAAGACTCGCCACTAACAGGCAGATCATATGGCTTGCCAAGGATGGTTAACTGATAGTACCTCGGCTACCAAGACATAAAAGGGCACCTCATGAGACTAGTGGCCGAAATAACAAACAAAAAGGTCAATTAATCAACAGTTATTTTTCTCTGTACCAGAAAAACTGTGCTTTCCAAAAACTACACACAGCTTTACCAAATATCATCAAAAAAAGGTTTCCATCTACAGAAACCACGCAATTGTCTTACATCATCATCATCATCAATTTTTCCTTGAAGCCCAGCCATTTTTTATTTTTTTTTAATTTTGGATGGAGTTGGGAAGAATTAGAACCTACATCATCCTTTCATTGCCGCTTGTAACCCGACTGGAGATCTTTACTTCTTGAGGGATCACAAGGATGGGAAGTGAGGGAAATCTCTCTCTATTATTTAAAGCACATTTGTTGAGCAGAGTAGGGCAGGATAAGAACAAAGGTAAGGTTTTTTTTGTGTAGTAGAATTTCCTTTACTTCTCAAGTAGTCACCCAACCAGGAAGTGAAGGTAAATATCTCCAAACGTGAAGACAGAAAGCATCAAAACCCAACAAAAGTTTAACACCTTCCCTACCCAAAGCTGAAAACATGGTTGGCATGGGCTTTAAACACACCTTGAAAGGCCATTTATCCAACCAAAAATGGACCACCAACTTTTACCTCTACAATGCCATTTTTTGGTTGATCTCAGTGTGTTCCAAGAATTGTTTGAATCAAAGATGTACACCTTGTTAAAGGGTCACTCCATGCAAAGCTGGTATTTCAGTTTTGGTAGATTGCAAATGGATAAACTACCTCTCTTGGATTTCTTGAATAATCTATTTATGAGATATCTTCAAATGTTTTTTTTCACATTATGAAGAATATATCAAAAGGATATGAAATACACAGACAGAATTGGACAGGAACACCCATAACTCCCAGATAGGTGGAAAAAAATCACGGCAGTGAGATCCCTCTGGAGGAATGCCCAAAAATTATAAGTATTGGCCATAACTAAAATATTCCTTTTTAGAGGACTGACCCTTTAAGACCAGTGAGGCTAGCCCAGGGGTAGGCAACCTGTGGCTCTCCAGCTGTTGCAGGACTACATGTTCCATCATGCCTCTGCAAGTCATAGCTGTAACTGTCACGTTTGTAATGCCTCATGGGAAATGTAGTTCCACAACAGCTAGAGAGCTGCAGGTTGCCTTAGTTGACTGTTAAATAAACTCATTCTATTAGGCTGACCATTAAAGTTCCAATTTTTCAAAAAAATCTGACAAATGTAAAAAAAAAAAAAAAAATGGCTCCAAGCACAAAATGAATGCCAACCACTAACAAAAAAAAAAAAACAAAAAAAAAAAAAGATAAAAAAAAAGATATTGGCTGGAAAGTTTTTCCAACTTGTTGGAGTTCAGTCCTTACAGAGGGCCACTGTCAGTCAAGGTACAAGGATAAAGAGAAATGATAAATATCTGTTCCTGTTCACAACAAACGAAACCAAAAACTATGTCTGTTCTCTTACATCCAGTCCGGTATTGACAAGATACTTGAATCTTTAAGGTGGTCTCCAAGGAAGCTGTTAAAAGCACAGTTGCAATACATATATGTAAACAATGTTGCCCACCAAAGGTTTGTAATTCTGTTCAGGCATCTAGACACCCCTAACAGAGAGCGCAGCCACAATAACAGGGCTTGGTTGAGAACCTTTAACTACTGACTGGACAAAGATCACTCTTCTGTCAACTATGGATTACCATCAGCTCATGTGCATGCAGCAGGGCCTGATTGGCTAGGAGAAGGAACGTCAGCACTAGAAGCCAGAGATGTTGTGACAGATCACAGGAGGCAAGTCTCAAGACAAAA